TTACTCTACGCTTCAAAGCAGAATAAGTAACGTGAACACTTTGAAAATGTACTTTAAAACAATATAAAAAAAATTTTATGAATTGTGTAACAGATCTACAAATGATGTGACGGTTCCCCCTGTTTAATGTGGTACATGTTATTGATTTTAAAACGATGCGACAATATGTAGCGTCGGATTTTTTACGTAACAGTAGCACCGTTGTTACAGCCCTAAGGAGATAAAATAGGTGATTTCTTTTTATTAATCAAATTGCCATTTTTATGTGGTATCGTATGTTACATACCGTTTTTTTTCGTGCATGCATTGATAAATTGAAACAGTTTCAAACTTGTAATCTGATAGCATATATTTATCAACCGGTAAAGTTAGCACGTACGTAAGTACCAATCTATTAAAACTCAGATGTCTTTATCAAGACCGGAACCCTTAAGTCCACCACCACCTTTCTCAGATATCGAACATGCTAATAATTCCATATTTGTGGGCTCTCAGGTTGTAAATTCAAAGACTATTCTCAATTATTTTAACTTCTATTAAACTTAATAATCATTCTGTAGAATGTGGATGAACAAGATCAAGCTCCAGCATATTCGTTCTATCCCTCAACATCTGGTTCATACTTTGAGCTTAAAACGATCGGGAAACAATTAAATAGGAAGGATAAATATTTATGCGGGGACATACTTGATAATCGATACTTTTTATTGGGTTCGAATACTGGACTAGAATTCATTGATTTATCCCTTCCATCCGAACAACAAATACCAGAAAAACTTATTGAAGCTGTACGATTCAAACAAATAGTAATTTTGATAACTCAAAGATATAGTGCACTAATTGCATTGGCCGGGAAAAATAATCATATCAGAACTTATAACTTGAGTAATTTAAGATTGTTAATAAAAAGTAAGCTAATTTCACGGACACCAAGAATGCCAAAAACGCCAAGAACTCCTAGCATCCATGGAAGAGCTAGGTCAGTGGATTCTATATTCGAACCCGATTTCATTCCAGATCGTCCTTATTCTTCAACTCCAACATTGAGACGTTCTTTTACATTAGAGGCATTAAATACCACGTCAAACAATACTTTTCCAGATGCTAATTCGTCTTCATTATCGCAATTTCCTGTATCAAACGCCACCCCTACTGTATCATCTGTTTCTCCTAGTCAAGATACAAATCTCACATGTAGAAATGAAGGTTCTACATCTTCTTTAACTTGTCCTTCACATACGAATCCTTCAATGACCTCTAATAGACGTAATTTTAGCCATCAGAATCCATTATCATTGACAATAAATTCGAATTTATCTACAGATGTTCATAATGCAAAATTTTCTGCTCAATGGACGCTCGATTATTCAAAATTGCCAAGTACAAAAATGGCTCTATCATTTGTAACACGTAGTGGTCCGACTAGAACATATTTAACTGTGCTGTCAAAGCAAAATATATTTCTGTTTGAACTAGATTTTGGGGATGTAAATCGAAAGCCAGAATTCGTACACACTAGAACATATTGGTTACCTCAAACTCCCAAATTTCTCCAATTGTGCATGTACGAAGATCATTTGGTGGATATTGTAGCCGTATTTCATACAGAGGTAATATTAATTGGTGTTGATGATGCAAGAGTTCGTGAGGTCTCCATTGATCCACAATTACAACCAGTGTCACAACACTTAATTTCATTACCTTCGTTCATTCATACTTCGCAATGGCAAACTTTCTCTCAACTTCCATGGATTCCAACTTTAAATCCCGAATTCGTATCCGATAATTTCACAATTCCACCACCTTATGATTCCACAATTAATGCAGATCCTTCAACAATGTTAAATCCTATACCAATATTTGAGACTAGTAGCATAGATTCATTACAAGTTACTGGCGAACCGTACTCTTTGTTTTTCGCAACGTTTGGATCAAAATCTATGATCGTAGATTCAAAAGGGAGACCATTTTCTACTGTTGTATTTCAATGGACTTTTACTCCATTACATGTGGAATTTTTGAAGTCAAATCAAGCCGGTGGTGAATCTTTCGTTGTTGGATTTGGTAAAAATATGATAGAAATAAGAAGTATCAATAACGGAAGAATTGTAGAGAACGTTGTCAGAGGAGTTGATGTACAATATTTGAGTAAAGGATTAGATGGGAAGGGTATTATCTGGGGGTGTTCGTTTAGTAAAGGGATCAAAGGGATTTCTTTGTATCTTTTAGAGGGACCAAGAACATAGTATATTAAAATCACAATAATAGAAATAACATGTAGATAAATTAGTTTGCTATAATATAATATTTTAGTAAATGTAAATTTATGAACATTTCACGATTTGGATGCATTTTATCAATCAAATATAAACAATTAATAGATTTATGTTTTATCAAAATATGTATTCATATTTACAAGTAAAATAATTTCATAACGAACATAATTATCTAGTTAAATCATCTTTTGTCACTTATATAGTAATATGTTATATTTAAATCCTATGTTTAGGGATTGGAACAACCTAAAATTTTTCTAATCGTAATATGGAGTTGTCGCCTTGAAAATGTCCTTATTACTATGTCCATACCGTATAAACGCAGAATAACGCCTGTGGGCGTTATTTTGAAAATCGGAACCTTTAAAAATAGTATATGTAGTTTCGAATTAACGCCCATGCGCGTCCTGAAATAACGCGCATCCTTCTATAAAAAAATAAAGAATAGAAAGTGCTTCGGAACGATTTGGTACTAAGTAACCTGTTTTCGCGATCTAACAAAAGTTGTTCTTTATACTAAGACAATTATAACAATGGTAAAAGCAGGTTTACTTAGTATAAAATCCAGTTCAGGTGCAGAGGGGTTTATTTAATCTATATTTCGAAATAACGCACATATCTATATTTCGAAATAACGCACATGGGTGTATTCGAAATAACGCGTATTCCGCGTTTATACGGTAAAGTTTTAATTGTAGAGTTAATAATGGAATTTGAAATGGTGGTTGTTTATAAAACTAAAATATATCAAGAATCATGAGATAAAATGATTTTAATGCTGGCTTGAAGATAGCCTGAATTCCTATCCTAATATAAAGGATTGCTAATACTTTATTAGCACAGCACACATTGGACCTAGCTGCCACACCAAAGTTGTCACGGTAAATTCTTGATTTTGATTGGAATGTTTCCGGGCTAATTTTACCATTGTGCGGGCCTATTTTTCTAAAAATTTCCATTTCGAAATGAAAAGTTAAAAAGTTAATTCCGGCCAAAAAATATGTAAACAATTATATAATGCGGGCAAAATTTATCACGGCCGTTAGCCATGACAAAATTGGTGCGGCAGCTAGGTCTTTTTTTTGAAAACAAGATTGCCTCAGTAAAAGATGTATATGCTATTTTTATCAAGTACATTTCGACTGACCCAAAATTAGCCAATCATAATTGAGAATTATTTGTCGTTAAAATTTATTACGAGGTTTTTACATACCGTAAAACGCCGTATAAGGTACCCCCCTTGATTTGTACCCCCCTTGATTTGTACCGGGTATGTTTCAAGGTTA